CGCCGGACTCATTTAAAAGAATTTGGGCACTATTCAACTATTACAACCCCAAAATCTCAAAATTTTATTTTTCGTCGAAACTTCGCCTATAGGGGTTATTCGATGCCCTGATTACGAAAATGACATTCATTTTTGGCGTTGGCGCCATTTGGCGCCAGGGCTGTTTTCACCAAATTCGCTGTAAACTTGTATACAGGGGGTTATTTTGGGTCCTGATCACGAGTACGGGCGAATTTGGTGAAAATAGCCCTGGCGTCAAACTGGCGCCAACGCCGAAAATGAAGTTTCATTTCGTAATCAGGGCATCGAATTACCCCTATAGGCGAAGTTTCGACGAAAAATAAAATTTTGAGATTTTGGGGTTGTAATAGTTGAATAGTGCCGGAGGCGGGGGTCTTATCTAGTAAGAAATGCATGGGATACACTAGCAGTGCTGTCACCCTTTGGAACTGAAAAATTGAAACATTTACAGTAACGGAAATTCCAACGTGCTGAACTATTTCGCGTCATTCCCCCGCAAACCCCCAAACCTTCCTTCCCCTTACAGATAAACAGCATTTGGTGAAATGCAGTGCCAATTAATTGAATTATTGGGTAGAAAATGGTGAAAATATCCCGGAATACGACAAATCCGAAGCATCAAAAGCAAAGTCTATTTCGCATACCTGCTCTCAATTCCGAGCACAGTTAACTTCCTTCTTGTTAATGAACTCGATTCCAAAAGTCTTCGCCACAAACTACGGCTCATTCCCAGAAAGACAGCGAGAAGGAGCCAATTTTTCAAGAGCAACGAAGGAGCCAACTTTTCAAAAGGAGTTCCCAGCTACCGTAGTCTGCCAATGGTCGCAGGACCACCCTGCGGCAGTGACCTCATCGAACCTCCGCACGCACGCTCGCGCTGTGCGGCGTTTATTGTTCGTCGAGTCTCGGCGTGAGGTGCTTGCTCTTTGTCTATCATGGCTACTCGAGTTTATATTGGTCGTCTATCGTATCGTGCGTCTGAACGTGACATCGAACACTTCTTTCGTGGATACGGACGTATTCGTGACATTGTACTGAAGAACGGTTTTGGGTTTGTGGTGAGTTTTTGTGCCTTTGATTGCATTTGGTTCAGGTCTTGTTTGGATTTGTTACGCAATTAGTTGCTTCTCGTTCATGACTGCTTTTCCTTTTAAGGAGTTTGATGAACCGCGTGATGCTGATGACGCGGTGTACGATCTCAATGGAAAGGAATTGGCTGGAGAGCGTGTGATGTTGGAGTTCTCGAAGCGTGGTCCTCGAGCCGGTGGTGGTGGTCGTGGTTTCGATCGTTATCCTCCCCCAAGGCGAGATGCCAGGTTCGTTTGTGATTCATAGGACGCTTATTAGTGTAGAAATAGCATAGGATAGGTAGTAGAGATAGATAGAATCATAGGAAGCGGGTTGATTTCCACTTTATTTCATGTTAGTGGTTATGGTGCAAGCTTAGGTGTTAGGTCCTTTAGCTTAAGTAGGTTATGGGAAGCTCCCAATATGCATGGCGACAAGCAGTGCGTTGTGAAGCGTCATCCAAATGACTGACGGCATTTGTTGGGGCTAAATGCACTTTTTGTTCGTTGACGAGATAGCTCCGAAGAATGGGACATCGGTACTTGTCGATGTTCTCTTGGCTTGAGCAGAGATTAGTTTTGGGAACAATAGCACAATCTTGGGGCATCACTGAGATACGGTATCTGGGCTCTATTGAATCAGCGTGTTTGTGGGACTAAATGCTATTGACTGTGAGTGCAGGATCTCTGTTCGTTATCACTAACTAGGGACTGGGCTATTGGGTAGCGCTCCATAAAACTTTATTCATTTTAATGTTAAATGTTCGATCGTCCTCGACATGATAGAATTTGTTGTTGTGTTTGGGTTGTTTGATTATGTAAGTTGTGAAAATGCAAATTATAGGGCCGGGTTCCAACGCAAGCGAGCATTTGGAGGACAGAGCGCAGAGTACTGCATTTATCCTGAAGTATTTCCATAACCCCATCTATTTTTCATCCTTTCAGTTCTAGATATGGTCCTCCAACACAGACTCGTCACCGTATGATCGTCGAAAACCTGTCGACACGTATCTCCTGGCAGGTGAATGCTTTTCAGCGAATTTGTTCTCTAGTTATTTCAGGAAATCGTGTACGTGATGTGAGCACGTTGTGGTGTACTGCGAATCGCGTCTGCTCTCTGTGTGTGCGTCGGGGCGCTGGGATCACTTCTTTTTATTATTTTTTGAGTGTTTGGCCCAATTTTCTTTCACTAAAACAGCATCCTAGCTCGTTGACGTACGGTGAGCGAGCGACCGTGTTTGATGTACATCGATCGCCAACGTGTCGGTCTGGCGCTGGTGAGAGGTCGGAAGTAGCGCGCGTATGGCGGTGTCATGGCCGACGGTTCGTATCGCGTGTGCGGCGACCATCAATGAATACGTATCTGTCCGAGTTGAAGTGTCCGCTGCTCCGGGTTCTCGCGAGGGTCTGTGACATCTCCCGTTGAGACGAGGTCGTGACGGTGCCTTTACCAAACAACGAACGGTTAGTGTGACCATGTGAAAACTATAGTGGCGCGATAAGATACAATGCGTAAGATTAGTTTAGAGGCCGTGTCAACTGCCTCGCTTAGGCGCATATGAGTCTTAACGCTTTTTCATGTGTTACACAGCATTGCCTGGCAAGCATAAATGAGATATGCAGCAGCAGAGTCTTTCTAATATCATGGAAACATAGTTGTCATAACAACGAGCTTTGTTAAGTTTCATTCTCGTCTGCATATAAGTGCAGCTGACCTCGACCGTGGCTGCAGCATGGGTTCACCTTGAGTTGATGCTAGCAGGTTTCTCTTAACATGATTAGAGGTGAATGGCTAAATTTCTCTTATCTATGTCAGGGACAGCACTCATTGGTTGTAGAGAACCATGATTGGATCACAGAATGCTCCTGCATCTTTTATGGGGAATCACATCATTTTACAAGACTATTATGGGATGGTATTAGACCTTTCGAGAAAAAGTGGCAGTCAGCAAGCTAAGTAGCATGTTCTAACAAGACCAACCAGCACAATAGTTTTGGAGGTCTCACATCTTAAAATCGTTAGTTTTTGCATGTGACTTCGTGTTAAGCAGTTCTGAACTCATAAGAGATATTAATACTCCATGAGAATCAAGTTGTGAAGTGTCTCCTTGGGCGTATTCATTTTTGGTGTATCAAGTTACAGGATATTAGTAAGATGTGCTGCTGTTAATCATTAATACGCCATAAAATGCTGTGTACACACTGTTAAGTATTCCCTTTTATCATTCGTAGGTTTATTACAACTTTGTTTAAAAATAATCTTTGACGTTTTGTAGGATCTCAAAGATTTGATGCGCAAAGCTGGTTGCGAAGTTACGTTCGCTGATGCCCACAAAAATGAAAGAAATGAGGGGTGAGTTAGCGACCAGTCTTTGTTGTGGACAATGCTTAGTCATTTCCATGTTTAGGGTTGTGTGTTTTGCTACTCGTGAAGATTTGGAGCGTGCTTTGGACAAGCTTCAAGGTGAAGATGTGAACGGTCGCAAGCTGAAGCTAATTGATGATTCTGAGAAGCGCAGCCGTAGCCGATCTCGTGATAGAAAGCGCTCGAGGAGCCATAGGTATGTATTCGATGATATAGGTCATTTTTAGGAAAATCAAAATATACCTGTTCTGTTTAGCCGCAGTCGTTCTGGTTCGAGGTCGCGAAGCCGTTCGCGCTCAAGAAGCCGTAGCAGGTCTCGCTCACGCTCGCGCTCTCGCACTCGCTCGCGTAGTGCTTCTCCTAAGAAGAACGGCAATGATGACGATCACAGCAAGTCTAAGTCTAGATCGAGAAGCCAGTAAGTGTAGGATTTTTTCAACAGTCTTGTTGCAGCGGATATCTACTGCTTGTTTCAGCTCTCGTGAAGGATCCAACCGTTCAGCTTCCCCTGCAGCCAACGGTGATGCAGATATGCGATCCCGATCCAGATCGCATAGCCCTAGTCCCCCAAATGATGATTAGACGTGTTGTGTCATTATCTGTCTATAATTTTCGTTTTTTCGTAGTTTTCATGTTGTTAATCATTGTGCGTAGAGTTCCCTTATGTTCATGACCCCTATCATAATGATGTGCTTTGAGTGAGGTATTGTCGCGTTTTTATTCAGTACATATATAGATCTCTTCAACTGCGTATTCTATGTGTCTATAAATATCTAATACTATGCTTTCGATTTTGATAGGGGAGAAGGATTGGTCAAATTTAAACTTTTTAGACCGTGCGTGTTTTACGTTTCCGCGGCCGCGCGGGACTTCGGTGAGATTTTTAGGGATCTTATCTAGCAAATTCAAAAGAAGAACCCAATGCAGAAGAAATCTTATCGGAAAATGGAAAAGAAAATGAATGAAAAACCTAATAATTGTTTACGAAATGCGAGCTGAAAGGTCCTATGCGGTCGGAGGACTGCAGCCCACATATGGGCTGCGTGGGCTCCAAGGTGTTAAATCGTTTATCATCCACAGTAGATCAGTACAGTAAAGATGCAGCGCATAAACACAGTAACAGGTAAATCAGTTTTTTTCGGGGAGTAGGAGGATAGATGGGGCATCGTTCATCTTGCTAGGAGTTTGTAAAGGGGAGTTGGCGGGGGACTGTGATTGATTTGGAAGACATGTCAGGAGCAATTTCGAAATGCGAGCATGTGTTTCGAGATTCAGAGTAGCGAAACCTCGCGGTTTTGAACATTATGATTCTCTTCAGACCATCGTCTGTGGCAAGAGGTCGACGGACTACTTGAACTCAGCCCTTTAAACCGCCTCTGCGCTCTCTCGCGGGTCCTCTCTCCTCTCCAAGGCTTAGTCCTAGGGCATTCACCCGTTCTCTAATCGTCTGTGCTCTAGCCATCGCGGCAGGACCATTGAGGAAAAATCAATGTAGTCCGTAAACCGGTAAGAGTGTGGAGGAGGCGGTGCAGGTCGCGCTGAGTGCGAGATTTGATCCGTAATAATTCACTTTACCTGGGGATTAGGTATAGCCTTAGCTCGGACGGGATTTGTGCGTGGACAAACTCGCCTCCTGCATAGGCCGCGCTGACATCTGTTGCCACATTATCGATCGTTGATGCAAGGACGAGCACTGCGCAGCTAAGAAAAACACTGTCGGGATGCTCGTTGTCTGTCGCTGGGCCGACGTTTGGAACCACATGTGAGAGTTATTTGGGGGAGCTGCTAGTTATCTGGTGCTGCGTTTGAAGATGGGTGCCATTCTCTTCGATCCCGATGATACATGGCCGGCTGTCGTCTTCATGAGGAAGGAGGCATCACTTGATGCCGTTGATAAGTTCAGGCTCACAGCTCACGCCTCCTTCGCAGCAATATTTCCTGCGAGCCAAAAGCACGGGTTCAGCTCGCAGTTCGGGCGACTCGGTGAGTGACCTGATCTTATCGTGAGATCGTACAGTGGGGGGTCTGCTCTAGGGGTTCTGCGGTAGCAGGTGTGGCTTTTCGGATGAATGTGTCACAGCGAGAGGGTCACAATAACGCGGAACGAGCCAAATAGCTTGAGAATTGTGGATGAGCATTTGTCAGGAAAAAAAGGGGATGGTAGTGTTTACCATGAGAGATCATCGGACCTCTCATTAATGTGTTTCTTTCCATTTTATGGTGCAAATGTATACTCGATATCCGAGGGTTAGGATAGGTGTGTCACCGGAAGTGACGTGCACTTGGTAGAAGCTACGTGGATGAGCCGCTTCCAGCTTCCGCTGCGTATACACATACCCTCCCCTTCAAAAAGCGAGAAAGTGTCGGGTGCAGACCATGCACCACAAGTGACGACGGCCTTCACAAAATGTTAATGTTTTCTGCCAATGAAATGATTAGCCTGTTGCAGTTGTATTCTATCGTTGTCACTAATTACAACTATCATTTACCAGAAATCAGCTATCACTATGAACAACTTCTAACCAGATTTACTTGGAGGCCGTCGTCAGTTGTGGTGTTTGGTCTGCACCCGACACTTTCTCGCTTTTTGAAGGGAGGGTACGCTGGCCCTGCGGAACATTTAAATCGGGTCTCATCCAGTAAGGGGGGCATCAAGTGACTGCCCTCACCCCCACCCCCTAGACTGCCTACACTCCCCCTGG